TCATTATTATTATTATTATTATCATCATTATTATTATTATTATTATTATTATTATTGTTATTATTATTATTATCATTAATTGTAATATTTTGTTCTGATTTAATTGTCTAAACCTTATTTTTTCCAAAAAAAGACGCCATTACAACAGTATATATGTTTTTACTTGCCATCTGTTTTTAGGACAAAATTTTAAACTTGCAAATAATTGGACTTTAATTTATTCCAACTTTTAATGTGTATATTTCGTACATATAAATTAGCTGTAAATTATTTCATTTATTCCTTCTTTTTCTCACGTTTAATTGGCTTAATCGATAACTTCTAATGATCTTTGTTCATTAACTTTATCTTATGCAAATTAAAGTAAACATACGATAAAGCTAAAAACTTAAAATAGCACTTATGTAATTTAGTAACTAATGACTTTACACATGCTTCAGTACCCACTGAAAAAAGAAAGGAGCAATTTTACTTTTTACTCTAACTTAATCGAACTTCTACAAGTATAGAAGTTATTGATCGATCTTTTCTCTCAAAAGTATTCCCGAGGAATTATTTCTTCCCCAAATTATTATTATTGCCATTTCGATAACGTAATATTTCTTCCAAGTTTTAGTTAGCTTTAGCATATTTCTTTAGTCTATATATATATTTTTATATATATGTGTGTGTGTTGGTGTATGTACGTATCTTTTATTCAAGGAATGGATAATTAGCAGTATCAGCTGTCGTTGTCTGGGCTGATTTTTATTTTACTGAAGAGAATAGTGAAATAAATTAAATGAGCTGCCTGTCATCCTACTTCACCCTATTAATTATGCAAAAATCTCCTTCTATGGTTAATTGCTACAGTAAATTTAAGAAAAAAGAAAAAAACGAACCTGGAAAAGTCTCTTGATTAGTATCATATTTTATGGTATAAAAAATAAAGAATAAGAAATTAGAATTAATCGGAATAATTAGAATTGAATAATAGCAGAAAAAGATTGTTAATCAAAATTTTGCAAAAGTTACAACAAACATGTGATTATTATCATTACTGATAGGAAAAGCACCATGTCACCAAAACAAATATCTAATTATTTATTATTATTATTATTGTTATTATTATTATTATTATTATTATTATTATTATTATTATTCATTATTATTATTGTTATTATTATTATTATTATTATTATTATTATTAGTTATTATTATTATTATTACTTATTATTATTATTATTATTATTATTATTATTATTATTATTATTATTATTATTATTATTATTATTATTATTATTATTATTATTATTATTATTATTAT